GTATCATCCAAAATTAAGTTAAATATATATATATGTGTGTGTATGTGTATATAAATAAATATATATGTAGTAGAATATAGGTCAAGGTAAAAGGAGACAAAGTAAACAAAGAAAAAAAACATAGATACCAGACATTCACCAAAAAAAAAACCAAAAACATACAAATAATCAGATACCAAAAAAAAAAAAGAGGAAAACATAGATTGATTGATCTATCAGTAGCAGATCTGATCACAACCGTCCCGATCCCAAACCCTCTTTAATGTGATTTATAATGTGTTTTTTTCTTGATTTTTAAGATTGATGGAATTTCCGATAAACCCGAGCCAAGAAATCCTACAAAAAACCCACATCATCACAAAAAGAAAAAGTCAATAGGCTGATATAGAAGGATTTGAAGAGAGAGAAGAAAGCAGATGATCGAGACCGGTTGTCAAACAAAAAAAAGAGGGAAATGAAGACTCAACTCGAGTTTTAACCGGATCGCCCGAGATCAAGTCGTTGAGCGAATAGCCAGCCAACCTGATCGACAGGACGGCCAACAAATAAGCCACCTGTCTCTCTCAAACCCCCAACAACCAGAAAGAACCCACAAAAAAAACACGTACGGGATATTCTGAGCATTAAGATAATCGAAGATAGAGAAGAAGACGTCAAAGTCGTCATCTTTCTGAATGAAGGATCCCCTGACGTTGGAGTGCGAGTCGATATCGATGAACTCATGATCAAGGATGCCCGAGTGGGAGTGAGTGAGACTCTCGATCAGTCGGACCAGGACCAAGCCGTTGCGGATCGAGTCCGAGAAATCCGTGGCTTCGTACCTGGTCGGACTCTTATTGTTCGGGTGGGATCGGACCTGCTCGTTGATCCATCGTAACAATTCTTTATCATCTGTTGTTAATTCTTCAGCTGTTCATTCATTCAAACAATGGGATGATTCAAAAGACGCTTCAGTATCTCAATCAAACCCCAGAAACGCCCCGCCCCCCTAAGAGACCTAGAGACTGACCATGCGAATGATTGCTAGATTTTTCAGGCGAAGGACGCTGCGTACTTCTCCTAGGTCTCAACGCGTTTTCAGGAGACTTATGATGAGGAGAAGGACTGATAGGGGGAGTGGCCCCAAGGACGCGATTACCGGGTGCAGCCTGCAAGTTCTGCAAGCTCATCAAGACCGCCGCGTCTTTCTCGGAGAGCACGTCGGGGTTAGCGGCCAGTCTGGCCTTCTGGACGCGGGCGCGAGAGAGCGGGGAAGGCGGTCTGGGGGGCGGGAACATCTTCTGGGCTTCCCGGATTGGAATGGTCCGGATATTACAGGACGAAATCACCGGTGCTACATTCAAAAAAAAAAAAAAAAAAAAAAAAGTCAAGTAAGAAGAAGAAGAAGACAAAAGACATATGACCTCTCAATCAGGAGTGTCTCATCACTGAGAGTCCCATGGATTGAAAACTCACCGATCCAGTCCCGATCAATCGTCGCTTTCATCATCGCCTTCATCCAATCCCGCAACAGCTTTGAATCGTCCGCACTGAACAGATGAGCCGAGCCGTTATCATGGATGATCCGGAACCCGTAGCGTCC